CGAGTTACTATATACAGGGTGTTTTACGTAGATTTGAAAAATGCAATAACTTTTTTCTGTCCATTGCTTAAAGTTTTATTATTATTATTTCTTTAAGTAAATATTTCAAATCTAAATTTTAAACGATTTATTTTTTTTTTATAAAATCAACGGTAGTCATTTTATAAATGTATTTTTATACGAAATGTTAGTGCGAAAAATGTGTATTAATGACGAGTCATGAATAATATTTTGTTAATGATTTTTGTGAACTTCAAATAATGTTTAGAAAATTAACGACTCATCTTTGGTAAACATTTGTAACGTGAATATTGTGTTTTAACATTTAAATTTAAAATATCAAGCTTTATTTCAATACTCTTTTTACTTTTTTACTTCTACTCCATTCATTTTAAAATAAATATGTACTTTTGATTTTAAAATGGGAACCCCTCTTTTTTTTTTTTAACACAATAGAATTGAAAATATTTTTCTAAAAATGTTGGTACGCTCAACACTCATATCAGATTTACAGTTTATGAATTATAACAGTAAAAAGTTTTTACCGGATTGAGTTGGGAAGGACTGTGGACTTTAATCTTTACATGAATATACAATTTATAATCTTTGCTTGCTCCTCCGGTCTAAACTTTAAACTATTATAACTTGTAAAATGAAAATCAAAAGTATACAGATTTATTCAAGGTACATGTACCCCAGATAGGGTGTGAAAATTAAAAAAAAAAGTATTAAAATAAAGCTTAAAAACACCCCGGGGAAATTGTCGGTTCGTGATAAAATGACCGCCCTGTAGTGCTGTTATACGGTTTCATATACGATAACCACGTACTCTATAATAAAACTATAAATAAATATTCATCGTTTTACACGTAGCTTTAGTACATTACGCGCCGCCGTATGCTTTTTGCGCGTTTTTAACGCGTATTATAATATTCAAAGGCGAAATATTATGATTTATCGCCAGTGAAAGGTTCACGACATTTATGACAGGGGTGACGGCGATAGGGGGAGAGGGTCATTAATTATGGAACATGTTACAATATAATACGTATAGTGTTTAGAATCATTAATGAAAACACGGAGGCGGCAGGCGAACTAAACTTTTAAAAGTCTATATAATAATAACATAATATATTAAGCGTGAAAAAAAAAAAAAAAAACCAAAAACGATTTCCCCGCGCGCGCACCGAGTGCGGTGTGATAGTAATTTAAACAGTTTCGATCCGATTACTATAATAATGACTCGTGCACTAGACGCGCGTCGTAAGAGTTTATAGATTCTCGCGTTTTTAATCGTTCGTCGTCGTCGCCAGAAAAAAAACAACTACGAACCTATAAAAATGCTCCCGAAACGGCGGCGGCGGTTAATTCGACACTCGTAAAACTATAACGTCACGAGAAGAACGTGAAAAAAAAAAAACAACGACAACGGGAAAACTCTGAAACCGTGAAACGTCCCCGCGGAGACGCTCTCCGACGTCTCTGGAGACGCCGCTCGTTCCGAACGGTCGGTAGGGGGCGCTGGAGGGGCGGCGACCGTCGAACGTGTAAACCGTAATGACGTGTACGGCCGTTATTATAATATTATCACGGAACCGGGGGGGGG